CATAAAAATCATATGGATCCATGAGGATCTGTGCCTCTGATCCATTTTTCCCCCCAACGACAGCTCTTCAGTCCCCCAGCCCTGCACTGGATTGGCCATGTCTTCCTCTTCCTCACAGGCTCCCTTCTCTCTCCCCTCCCCCAAAAAAAAGAATGGCTCTTGTTGCTGTGGCACTACCTTTCCCACTACCTCTGCTGGTTACTCAAAGACACAATTTGCAGTAACAGAAGTGTTTAGATATGCCGAAATGATTGAAATAAATCAAAGTTCTGTATACATGCTAAAATAAATGACTTTCTGGCGGAACAGTATTTTACGTCACTTTCCAACCAGAAAGCATGCTTTCCTGGCAAAATAATCCATGTTTCTTTTTATGTCACAGAGACACCTTATTTTAAATTTTTTTTTTAAGCAGAATGTGATACAACAGTGTTTCTTTTTGTCAGAAGGGTCAAGTCCAATGGTGGCAGGAAAACATCTCTTCTCTCACAGTGAATCCTGGGGAATTCTAGGTGGCTTCTCTGGCTGGATGTTCCGTAATTACAAAAATGGCACCCCTACCTGTCAACACTACGGGCAGCTTTCTCACTCACCAAATGCACAACATAGTATATTAAGCTATATGGAAATGATATAATTCTATTCCATGTGATTTCCTGTTTTTGTATGGAAGAATGGCACAAATAGTTCCCTCCCCCAGTCCCACAGATACCTTACATCCTATGATGTTTGGTGGGGAGAGAAAGTGCATGCCTATTCCTCCGTGGCCCTTTAAAATTATTATTACAGTTCCCAGAATCCTTCAGCCAGCTCAGCCACTGCTTATGCTGGCAGTGCGCTTCTATGAACTATGGTCCAAAGAGAGAGAAAGAGAGACTTTTGTAGTCTCTGGGGTTTCACAGATGTGCCAGTTTTGAGATATATTTTGAGTCTCCAGTTTCATAGGGATACATTTTCAGTTTTCTTTGGAAACCATAGTCTGCCTTGATGATTTTTTAGGACTCTTATCTCTGTTTTTTTCTGCACTACCCAGGAAGGGGTAGTGTCCACCATGAGGAAGGGGAACTTTCTCCCCAAAAGCATGCAGTTTGTTGGGTTTTTTAAAAAATTGGTTCAATAAAGGTTTCACCCTATTCTTGCATTCATATAGTTCTAAAAAACTTCACAGGCTTTTCCTAATTCTTTCCAAAGTAATAGTTTCCCAAATGTCATGGCTGTGCTTCATTTTTAGTAGCTGAGTTTAGCTCGCGCTGTGCAAAACCAGGTTGTTTCCATATCCTAAATGTGTTGCTGAGGTTTGTGGAACTGGAAGTTTACCTACATCCAAATCAGAGCCTGAAAAGATAAGAAGAACTCCTTCTCCCCCAATACTTATACTGTATGTGTGGCTTGGTTTCTTGCATCCTGAAATGCTGGCCCTTGTTTCAAAGAAAATAGTCATGCCTAAAGGGTTTTTTTTTCTCTCTGATGTAAAAATGTTCCCTTTTCAGATTCCAATAGAGGCTACATGTGCACAAAAGTTCAGCTTTGTGTGTGGCCTTGATTTACTTTAATGTATGTATGTATGTATACTTTATTATGGTCAAAGACTGGTAAAATAGATACATATAATTATTGTTTAGTGAAGTCAGACAGGGTAATAAAATTCTATTGAAACATGATAAAACAACCCCTTCTTTCCAATTAATAATTTTATTTATTTATTTATTTGATTTATACCCCGCCCATCTGGTCTAAAAGACCACTCTAGGCGGCTAATAACATAACATAATATGTCCTTAATGTAGGTAAAACCTCAGGCAGTATTATGTTTAAAACATTATATTGTCCATCTAAAATCACCTACCCAAACATCTGTTTACGAATAACCATTGCCACAGCACAGAATTTGGCCACTTGTCTTGTAATATAAGGGGTATTGTCAGACAGTAGCCACTGCACATAATCCTCCTCTGATCTCCCAGGAGATTTACAAATAATAGGTGATAAAAGCTCCATGCAAAGATCCAGATAACAAGTACAGAAAAGGAGAACATGACCAACTGATTCAACTTTATCACTAGTACAAGGTCAGAGACAATCTGATGCAGGCAAAGCTCGAAATCTTCCCTCCAGAAACTTAGAAGGTAGTACATTAAGCTTAGCTAGTGTAAAAGCCCTTGTGACTTTAGATGAGATAGGGTACTGGCTAAATACGAGGAGGTGATAAAAGCAGATTTCTTAAGGAAGTTATATTTCCCTAA